CTATTTATGGATCAATTTTAAATTTTCAAAAAGGTACATTAGTAGAAGTTGTATTAAAAAATCCATTGCACTTTACAGAAATAAAATAACTTAATAAATAATTGAGTAAACAGGGGCAGAATAACTAAAATTTGCGGTCAAACAAACTTTAGCCATTTTTCTGGTCCACTCAAATCCATAGCAGGTAGCCGACAGAGCGCGTCCTTTTAAACCCCTCATAAGCCGACAATAAAATTTTATGAGAGTGTCCACCAACGCCAAATAAGACTACAGACATACTTATTATGTGTTTGGTGAACATGAAAACTGTGATATTTATTTCTGCAAGAAGAAAGATGTAAATGATAAAAATTATGTTATCACATTCAGAATTAGCGGCTTATTCGCTAAAATTTTAAGTTTGGTTACATATATAGTTAAACATAGTAAAAGTTTAATTTGTGATGTGACCAATATATCGTGGAATGTTTTAATTCCATGGTACCCAAAAAGATCAGTGGAAAAAGAATAAATTATTTCCATCGTCGACGTTACCAAGCCAGGTGTGAATTAGCAGCCATTAGTTACAACACAAAAGGTAAACTTCTATCTCGAACGCAAGAAATCAAAAATAGTCCCTTAATTTTTACCACACTTACAGAAAACAAATGAGAACGGAAACTTTAATTAGCCCACGAGAAAAGAATAAATACATTAAATTTTAGAAAAAAAATTTACAAAACTGATGATGTGACGGTTCGTTGGAGTATGGGCCCAACTCAATAAAACCCGATATGGAGCCGGATTTATTAAACAATAATATGGATGAATTTCTCACCGATCTAGTTATTACCGAAAGTGAGAGAAATATTATACAGGAAAAAACTGTTGACCAAAGTATTTCGCTAGAGTGGAATGAAATTAGGCGCAAAAGAATCGATTCTTCAATTTTTGATAAAATATTAACATGATACCATTACAGCCTTAGAAGAACAATTACAGGATAATATGTACCTGACTGAATATAATTCTAAATACAAATATTATTTGACATTACAGTCGTAGTTACAGATAATTTCACATATAAATGAATAAACGATAATATATACCTACTAAACATGTTTACTTTACTGATACGTTTCTTAAATAATTAATTAATCTGGGATATGAAACATTCCCCCTAAACCATCAGCAACGTTTCGTGCACTTTACATAAACCGCAAATGTCCGCCCTCAAATCGGTAACATATGAAACATTCATAATACTACGTGTCAGAAACATTTACAAACAGTGTCGCTGCAATGTTTCAAAGATGATTCTTATTGATTTTTTTGGGTAGTACATAATGGCAGGTAACTTGTAATTAAAAAACACTCCTGAAAAATTACAAAATAACATAATTTTATTTCCATTATATAAAAAAAAAACAAATTGATAAAATAATTCTTCAATAAGAAACATTATATAATAATAAAATATGATTTGTAACACTTAATTATTAGGGGTAGCATTATTTTTATTGCGCGTGTACCTTACATTCGCCTGGCGAAACTAATTAGCGACGATGCGCTCAAAATTTGTGTCTGACAGACTTGTGAACTGCTTTCTAACAGCAACTAAAAGTAAAATAATAAATGCATACACATCTGTAGAAACAATAATAGCGGCGTTTAAATATACCTTTTAGAAGATGCATCGTTTTTAAATGACCTATTCTGAAATTTGACTTACGCTCTTTGGGAACCTTCTCGAAGTCTTTAATCATGTCGGTACTCCTACCGCCTACGCCTTGCGACATGTTAAATAGAGTTGACATAACTCGTTCTAATAAAATTTTATTGTTAGTTGCAGTTTTCAGCACGGTATCAATTTTAAACTCCAAATTGATTACTAAAAATACGGTAATAGAAGATAGGTATAATAAAAGTAACCATTTGCTCTAAATACCTGCGGTATATAAATCCTCGTTTTGAGAAACATTGTCATAAACAATCTCTGTAAAGACGAATAATAAAATAAAAGTTAAAATGTAAGTGCAATAAGTCATACCTGCATCTTGTAAGTTGACATAGTTGACCTCTAAACATAATCAAACATTAAACATAACTAAAAGATCTGTGTAATATTTACCTGAAACTCCATCTTGTATTATTTCCGGCGTTGGTGCAATAAGAGGAGGCGGAGGCATTAAGTCTGTCGAATTAAGCGATACTACAAAGTATAGTTATTGTTATATTTTAAATATACAAAACATGATTTCGCTACCACTTACAGGTATCATCAGTTGCGCAACTCGAGAAAGATATATCCTCTTCCCTTACACAAATTTTAGGGGTAGGCTGGATACAGCCCGGGCATTCTGATGTTTTTGATCCTCATCGTCATCATCGTATAAGGTAAACTCAGGATCTTTCTTTCGTTTTCTCTTCCTTTTCATAATCAATGTTTTCTCATTGTCTGTTGCGGACGTGTCTGAGGTTTCTTCTTCCTTTTTTTTTTTCATACGCTATTGCCTCGTGATAAGAAACTGTTTCAAAATATCGAAAAACAATTCATGTTTTAACAAAAAGTACCATGAAAAATATACCTGGTGATGCCAGCAAAGTTATTATGGACCATTTTTCCCAGTCATCAGCCGGTTTCGTTTGTTTTGTAATATGTTTCCTGATGTGGCTTTTGGGCCACATGCAACATTGTTGATTCTCATTCTGTAGAAGCCATGCAACTGGTACTGTCGAAATTTCCTTCGTATCAAATTCGACAACTGTCCACTGCGAAAATATAATATATAGTTTGGAGAGAGTTCTTCTGGATTTGAGATTTGAATCCAAGGTGTTATAATAAGAGTTTCCATTATTGACTAATCTATTCGAAAGCTTCAAATGCAGGACGATTTTATAGTTTTTGTTTCGTTGTTTTAGTCTTTCCCTGACGATAGTAGTTTAACCATCAAAGAGCGTCGAAATTTATTAAAATACTTTGTTGGTGTTGAAGAATAATTTTATTTTCTACATATTTGATGAACATTCTGCTTTATAACAAATTCAAAGATGTGTGGTGACTCCTCGTCCATATATTTGTATGAAAAATACAAGAAACATCAGTGGCGGCTGGTGACCTTTTGAAATGGGGGGACACAATTTGATTGATGAGTTAAATATGAAGAAATAAAACAGGTTGTCATTACCAATTAATAGACGAAATTGTGTGACGGAAATAAATACAAAAATACATTCAATAAAAATAAAAAAGGATTTCTCCACATACCTTTTTGCCTTCGGTGTTCATGGCATCTAAAAGTTCATTTTGGATAGTTTTAGGCGTTCCTTTAAAAACCGTTGCTTCTTTCAAATGATCTGATAAAGTCGAATTCAGCCATAAAATCAATCAGAACTCGAAATATATCTGGATTTTGTGATTCCCTACTTTCGTCATGTCCACGTAAAGCAAATTCAAACACTCCACAAAATTTTATGCACATTATCAATCGGCGTAATATATGGCGATTTTTGTCGACCCTTGTGTTAGGTGCCCGAATATTATTAATACAGGGTTAGTCACGAGAAAATTACTTCTGAAAATTATTTTTACGCAACCCAAAATACTAATACCCTGTACCACTTGATATTATCTAAATTTAAAATGAAATGCCTAATCCATGATTGCTTTGACTTTGGCAGTGTCACTTTGACGTTAATTAATTTTTAACATTTTTTTTCATCGTTGACTCGCCTCTAGAGCCCCATTGGATCGACGAGATAGTCAGATCAATCTGGGCTATACTGAAGCCGTAAGTGCTCTACCAATGTTGTTCGCCGCTAATGTGCATGTTTTAATTCGCCATCTCTGCGTCACCTAGAGCCTCTTCGAAGTGCAAATCTGCAACCTCTGGACTTCTTCGGCCATCCATTTACAAAAAAGCCGTAGCATCCCCCAAAAATGCCCAACATTTTCAACAGATTAGTAGTTAAATTATTTACTTACTTGTTTGAGTTTGTGATGTAACCTTTGAATAAAATGCCGTAAAAGGAATTTTTAAAAAATAATTTTCTCGTGATTAATAGGTTGCAAAAGATCAAGAGGCACACTCACAAATTTATTAGCGGCGCCGGAGGAGATTTCCGACTGGCTGCGGTACCACCGTGGACACTCGCGTAACCTCCTTTTCCACAATTGTCAAAATGAGATTGCCAAACTCAAAGCAATCATGGATTACGCATTTCATTTTAAATTGAGTTAGTATCAAATGGTACATGGTATTCGTATTTTGGGTTGCGTAAAAATATTTTTCAGAAGTAATTCTCTCGTGACTAACCCTGTATAAGCGGTGTGCAGTTGTTTCCGAATGTCTGTATTACCGAGAAGATTATCCAAGAATATTTATCATACGTGTTCGCGCAGAAGGAAAATTAAAACCCGCAGTAGTAACTCAATCCTCCAGAGCACGATGGCAACGGGCTCACAAGCCACTTGTATCAGGCGCATATCAAGCGGCCACGACGTGTACTTTCCATTGCACCGGTGTAAACAAAACATCTAAATCGGTCATGATTCGGTCCATTCGGTCTCTGTGCTCGGCTTTTATCAGCATTTCATCAGAAATAACATATCATTCGCACTCCGGCGAGAATAACGTCACATCTAAAAAAACATAAATTGTCAGTATTAGCAAAAATCCAATTGCTTAAACTGTAAACGCGCTTACCAGGCATTTATTGATTCTGGGAGCTCAATTGCTATTATAATCATTTATAATTCTACTATTACTATAGTAATAATAGACAATATAAAAATTGTTCCTAACCAGATGTTTCCCAGGGGTAGAATAAGCCAGGTACTTTGAGTTGTGTCAGTTTTCTCGCTTCAATATTTCAAAACTCTATCATCTTCTGCAGCACTTTAAAAAAAAAAACTAAATTTATCACTGTCAAGTTATACCTAATGGAGGGAAGGTTGTGAAAGATTTTATGACAATATTTATAAAACGTAAAAAACACGTTTTTATTGTGAAAAAGTTATAATAACACCTTATCCTTATATTAAAATTACTAATTTAACCATTAATTTAAAATTGTGTTATACAATGCTTCATAAAATTTAGGAATGTGGTTCCCATTTATGAGATCCTGTATGTCGGTTTTTTTTCTGTCGGGAATATTAATTTTTCTTGAATATGCTGGTTTGCAATTCAGCGTTGTGAAATTCACTGGATGCTTTCGTTTACCAAAAACATTTATTTTCTTAAAAAACTCCTGCTCATACGATGTTTTTATATAAATCACACCAGGCTCGTCCTTCAAAACTTTGATGATCTTAATGTCACCCATTTTAATAGATTCGTTTTCAGTAGTTTTGCTAAAATTAGGCCCAATCTGCTGCGCAAGATCTTTCAGGTTTGTAAAATCTGAATGTGACATTTCCATTACCTTGTAAGGTACACCTGTTTTTTTAGCTGAGCGGATTATTCTGGCATATTCCATTGGATGGTATATTGGTCCTGACTTCAAAGCTTGTTTTACAGATTTTTCAATGACAGCATGAACATTGTCGCCCTCATTTTGAGTATGTCCTTTTATTAGGAAGTTGTGGGTTATCGATTTAACAGTAAATTTTTGAACTGCATACAAATACATACTTATAATAAATTTATTTTTTTGTTGTCCACAACAATTATCGGAAAAAAAGATCATTTCGACATTTTCATCATTATGTAATTCAGCTGTCTGTTTTATATAATTCATCACACATGTCCCGATCTCGTTTGCACCCCGGTTCGCCTCTCCTTCGTGCCAAAAGTAACATGCGACATTCTTGAACTGCATGTCACTAATTGTGAAATTATAGCTGTTAATTTTGGACTTGTAATAGAAAACAGAAACTTCTCCACGTGGAGCGGGTAGAACTGCTTGGAGATCATAGGTTGCCAGTATAATACGTTTATTTACTGCTGTTAATTCTTTGTATTTTCTCTTCTGTTCTCTAGACAGTTCTTTTTCTCTGAGATGTGTCTCATACTTTTCTTTGAGTTCACATTTTTCTGCATCTTGGGCATTGTTATAAGCTACGCAGAGCTCGCATTGATCCTTCTTGGGAGTGAAGAAACTTAAATTAAATTCATTATTGAAAATCCTAGAGTATTGTGTCAAATTTCCATAAGAAACGTTGTTTTGAATGCATTGCTCCATGTAGTCACGATGTAATCCTGCAATTGTTTTTCCGCCTTCGATGTACTCTCTTGTGGTTTGGGCTCGTAAATAGTGGCTTTCTATTTTGGGTATACTATTGATGTGTTCACGAATGCTCGCTCCCAAGTCAGGATTTAATACTCTATGTTTTCCATGTTTCCCTCTTTGGTCAGCAGCTACAAAACCATCCGTATTTTTTTTAATTACCGTTCTGATTGTCCGGTCGGTTATATCTAGTGTAGCCTTGAAAAACATTTTGCAGACACGTATGAGTTTTCCAGAAATTGTGAAATAGAAAGCATGATTCAAACCTCGATGACTTCCTTCTCTCGGGTACCTATACGCGGGCCGAACAACATTCATACTTTTGGAGATGTATTCTCGCTGCAGTTGAAGATTTGCTAGATTCCAGTACTGATCAAATATTCTTTGTCGCATATCCTGACTGATCTTATTTGCACATTTTACTTTGCATTTGTCGCCACAAGGTTGCTGAATGGCCCTCCCTCTTACTTCTTTTGGAACTTTTGCAGATGAAAGGTAACCTTTTCCGCTGTTTCTAAGAATTTTTGCTTTTTCTTTTTTCCACTCTGTTAGATTTGCTTTTCTCTTTTTCGTTTTTTTTGGCAGATCTTGATTTTCTGCTAGTTCATTGAGTACTACTCTAACTTCTTCCTCAACAACTACATCTTCAGCCGTACTGCGTTTTCCACGTTCATGTCCTATTTCCGTCAGTTTCTTCTCTTCATAGAAGCTGCTGTCGCTTGTTGAAGAATTATTTGATGTACCATTAAAATCCGGGTCTGCGTCTGAATCATCACCATTTTCTGCCGAGAAAAAGTCATCGGATTCAAATGCCTGCTGTTTCCCGGTTTTCGTAATTTTTTTTAACTTTAATTTTGTTCCATGTTTAATACCGGAACTTTTCCAAAATGAACATTGAGGACTCTGAGGATCGATTGGACTCCAATTTTCTTTATTCCGACTAAACTTCCTAACATTCTCACTTGCAGTCTGTAAACCTTTTGTTTTTTCAATCTGGTTTAGATTTTTTGTTACATTCAAAATTGTACTTTCACAGGATTTTTCCGGTGACATTTTACAGAATTTGTTTACTTCAGTTTTATTTCGCTTTTCAGCTTCATCTTTTGCAGCTTCTCCAATCTCGTTTTGAACCTTGGCAATATCGTCAATCATGTCGTCGAAAGCGGGTTCTAAACGTATTTCATCGATTGTGTGTTCACTGTTGATGTTTTCTTCACCTTTATCTTTTTTTCTATTTGCTAATTCCATTTGTAACAGAGCAGCATTGACAATTTTTTTCCCTCTTGTAGTCATAATAATTGGTCTAAAGGAAAACAAAATGCATAATCAATTAACTATTACAATTCTGTAATAATGAATACAGAGCATCAAGCATAATTACACAACTCTGAATTCTACAAACTTTACGAATGTCAACGAAACACAACTAGAAATTGACTCAACACGAAATAAAACAACGTGACACTCATTTTCTAAGAAAAATATTAAGGGAAATAGTGATCAATTGAAAATTGGGTCCAAAGTACAATAATTGTTCTATCTCAAAAGTTGATTATCTTTTCTGTTAGAAAATGAATCATTTACTTGTGTATTTATAAAATAAAAGTGACACTTTTAGACTTCGGACGTACTTAGAATTATTAAAGATTAACTTACCTCCTGCAACAAAAGGGTACTGTTTTAAGTTGTGTCGTTTTTCTTGACTAACCGTCATGAAATTTCGTGTACGAACTCAGAAGTGACACTATTCTTGCTTGATGTAACGTAAAATCTGTCAAGCGGAAAAACGACATATCTGCCCTCTATTGGTGTGTTTTGCTAGTTGACAAATGACACTTTTCCACCTTGAAGATAATAATTACACACATCTCACTAGAGTATTAACTCAACATCACGTTTTTTTTAGTTGTGACGTTATTCTCGCCGGAGTGCGATATATCCAAGGCACATCTTTAGATGCAAGTGGAAGTAAGTTTTGATACATTTTATACAAGTGGAGCGAGATAAAAAAATTAGTTTTGATAATTATGACACAAATTTCCGGATAATTTTTTAAATATTGAAAATTACTATTTTGCTATGTCCAGTGTGTTTGTAGACGTTGTAATTTTGGGGGGGCACGTGCTCTTGTGCCCCCCGGCACCAGCCGCCCCTGAGAAACATAAAGCTTAAATTGTCCAAAATTAGAAGTTTTTGTTATTATTATTATTATTATAAATTAACTAACTGCTATAGTCCTTATGAAGTAAAGGGATAATAGCCAATTCATCTTCCTTTAAATTGAGAGGACACCGCAAGCATTTGTGTTTAATCTTTTTGTAGTTTACTTTATCACAATTAGAAGATAAATTTTGCGCCATTAGTATATTAAATAGCCTTGAATCGCATGGTTCCTGATAAAGTGGAGAAACCGCTAAATATGTTTTTCCGAAAATGTAAATATCCCCTCTTAAATCTTGAAAAATAGTTTCAATACACATGATCCTATTATCTAGTAATAATACACAATTATCTTTATGATTAACTATTATTTCAAAATGTTTTAAAATCATTTTTTTATAACAAATTATATTTTCGGTTAAACAACTAGTATTTTCAGTTTCCTGTTTTAATTGGGGATACAATATTTCTGAGCTATTTGTGTAAAAACGTTCTCTTTCTTTTATTCTTGCTATAAGTTGTTGCAGACGGTACCGCGAAAATTTACACATATTTTTTATTTTATATAAATAATTTTCATATTGAAACGCGCTAAAGCAATCTAGGGGTCCATAAAGTTTGCAGTCGTTAGGAAGGTGTATTAAATTATGCACATTATACGAAATATATTCCTGACCATATAAAATACCAAAATTTTTTACAAAATAATGTAGAAGTTTACTTGCTGACTCGTTGTATTTAAGATATAACGTCGGAGAACATAAAATTCTAATAGAAACATGTAATGCCATAAAATGGATAAATTTTTCTTGAGACAAAATATTTTTCAGTACAACAGGTCCGCTGTATAGCAACAATTGCCGAAATTCAGTTGCTTTAAAACGTTCGACTTCCATAAAATTTCGCGGCTGCCTTGAAAATTCTACTGGTAAATTGTGTTTGAATACTTCGATGTTTTTATTCAATTGTTGTAAATTATTATCAGCAATTCGAATGTCTTTCTTTCCTTTCATCCAAAATACCAGGAGACGTTTCATAGTGCCCAGGGATACCAAGTGCATGTAATCAAGGGGTACCTGCGTAACGAGACCTATATTTAGTTTCTCGAGAGGGCTAATAGAAAGATGATAGTCTTCATCTTGCTTATTTTTGAAAGAATTGTCTGTTCGAAGTGGCTTATTAAGATTAGGAAACGTCATTCTTCCGTTTGTAAATTCGCCCTCATCAATACATTTCGTGCAAGAATGATAACCCGTATGGCCCTTGACACATAACATATAAGACTTGGCAGGTGCATCGCAAATTAGTTTACTAAATTGTAAAAATTATTTCACATCATTTATCAGTACACCATCATCTTGTAAAATTTTAAATTCTTCAACAAACGGTTTCAAAAATTCATTAACACTTTCAGGTTTCTTACAACCATGAAAAACACCAACCATAAATGGACCTTTCAATCGGAAATTTGTAGTATTAATAGATACTAATGTAGGCCAAAATTGGCTGGCAGAACTTTTCGTGAGTGGCAAACCATCAATATTAACATCAATGCTCATTTTTTCATTGGGTGTCAATTGGTAGTTAGATTGATTGAATTTATTTTTCAAGGCATTTATAATGCCTATATGACAGTATTGTCCACCTTTTATTTGTTCAATATTATATGATTTAGGAGTAGTACGTAATAGCGTTCTAACATCGATTGGTAAAATGTAGCCTTCCGTATTTAAAATGCGGAGAAGCTCATTAACAGCCTGTTGTGATAACATGGTTCTATAACCAAGAATCCACATTTTGATATTGGTCTGAAAGTCTTTGGCGGCATTTTGTGATTGATTTACGTTACATTCAAGTTCAAATATCTCATTTTGTTGTTTGTTCACAAATGGAATATTAAAATTCTCATTGTAGTTGAAATGTACGCCGCAAATGTTAAGAGAACCATTGTTGTTATTGTTAATTGCATCAATAGTATTTGAGACAGAAGTATTACACATTTCAACTTGCTGAGGAGAAAAACACACACCTTTCTTTTTGTTTGCAGATTGTTCAATAATATTGTACTTAATTAATCTACGTAAATGTCTTTTGCTTAATAACAATTTCTTTCTCTCCATTATAGATATATATATATTAGGGTGATTCAAAAAAAAAAAAATATTTTTTTTTTCGTGCAAAGAGGTTCAAAAGTTTCTTTTCAACGTAAAAAAATACCAGTTAAAATTTGAGCTCTTAATATTAATATTAAGACCGTCCGCATCGCGTTTTTCTATTTCCCATAAGAATAACATGGGAAAATTTTTGTTTGCACCTTCTGATTTTTATTGCTAGCCCGTCGTGTGTCGTGAAAAAAATTCAATCACATATTTTTATAGAGAATTGAACGCTCTACAAAAAGTGTCTCCTATGATTGTGCGAGAAACCTGATAGTTGAAGAGTTATTTTAGGCTAAAGTTAAATTTATCCAAATTTTTACGTTTTTGATGCATTACAATAAATTTGATGGTCTTATTGGAATAAATCACCACAAAAATTTATACACATTTTAAATTTAGTTTTTTAAACAGTAATTGTTTATAATTTTATGCTATAATAAGGCCAGTAAAACTCTTTCCGAACATTTTCAGCATCAGTGGGTTAAAAAATCATAGTCAGGTTTCTCGCAAAATCATAGGAGACACTTTTTGTAGAGCGTTCAATTCTCTATAAAAATATGTGATTGAATTTTTTTCACGACACACGACGGGCTAGCAATAAAAATCAGAAGGTGCAAACAAAAATTTTCCCATGTTATTCTTATGGGAAATAGAAAAACGCGATGCGGACGGTCTTAATATTAATATTAAGAGCTCAACTTTTAACTGGTATTTTTTTACGTTGAAAAGAAACTTTTGAACCTCTTTGACACGAAAAAAAAAATTATTTTTTTTTTTTGAATCACCCTAATATATATATAGATAATAATTATATTTCTCGTCTCTGCAAATTCAAAACGAAATAGTGAGGTTAAGTTGAAAAAGAACTTGTAAATTAACTTTTGAAAAAACTTACCTGTTTATCTAGTAGCTTATTCATAATTATCCATAAACTTTACGTTATTCAAAACTTTTGATTGTGAGTAACTTATGTATTCTACCATAAATGAAGACGACGAGCACTGCACGACTATACAAGATTCATATTAGAAAAATTTTTTCAGGAAACATAGTAGAAACATTTCTGAGGCGCAGACCGATCAATGTTTTTCTAAATAATTCGGAGATGTGTAATAAATGTTTCCTAAACTATGTTACAGGCGTTTCATTTAATGGTTGATTATAAACGTTGCATTAATGTTTCATGTTTACTGGGATTATTTAAAATAACTGAAATGCCCATTGAAGATGCAGATAAATCTGGATCGAAGTGTACAAACACTGGAACTTCGATTAATTGTTGTTTCCCACCACTAAATGCCTCTTTACAATTAGTCCCCCAAGGCCATTTCGTATTTTTCTTTAGCAAGTTATATAAAGGTTGCAAAATATATATGTACATGGTTTTGAATGAATGTCCCATAATAATTAACCATTCCCAATTTTAATTGTGTTACGTTCGTTGGTGTAGGCGCTTCTGCAATTGCTATTGTTTTAGCTTTTGAAGTATGTAAGCCCTCCTTATCGATTATATGGCCAATAGGTATATTCAATTTGATCCGTAAAAAATGAACATTTATTCATACTTAATTTGAACCCTGCCTCCTCTAAAATTGACAAAACTTTAGAAAGTCTAAGCAAATCTGCATCATTTTTTCCGGTTATCAAAATGTCATCCAAACACACCATAACACCCTCAAGTCCACCTAATAGTGATTTCATTACTTTGAAATTTAGCAGGAGCTGAAGCAACTCCAAAAGCTAAACGATCATACCTGAAAGGTCCCCTGTGTGTGGAAATCGTCGGCAACTGCCTTGAAGCCTCCTCTACTTGTAATTGCTGATACGCTTGCGATAAATCTAATTTTGTAAATTTTTGCCCCCCCCCCCCCCTGAAGCTTGGTGAACAATTCTTCAATTCACGGAAGCGGATACTGATCCACTTTGCACAAGCCGTATTTGTTCGAGTGTATGTACTTCAGAGGCGAGGGAAGTTCTGTCGAAATAACCTTCAATGAATTTCTTATTTTTTATACTGTTGCTGGTTAGACTAAAACAAAATTTAACTTGAAGTGATGTATGTTTTTCATAAAATAAACGAAAACTGCAGAAACATCAAAAATAATTAGGTTAGATAAAGGCATACTTGCAAACTCATTTTTATTCTAGTATATTTACCTTGTTTCTTGTTTTGCTAATGTATCACCACGTATAAGAATATAAATGTAGAACAAACTGTGTTACGTTAAATAAACTTTAGTTGTTTAGCCTGATGAAATGACCATCTTTCAAATTATGTTCACTAATTGCTTGTAAATTTTAAATAATGATAAAGTAATTTTTCTTTATAACTTTGGTTCTGATAAGGAGTTTAAAATGTAAAAAAAAAATTATTATCATTGTGTCAGTTTTATTTTACAGTTTTAGTACTGTCAAAATAATCCAATTATGTGCAATTACATATCTTGAAGTCAATTATACAAGTATTCTTCACCATTAGATCAAAAAATGCATAATATTTTAATCAAGGCCAACTGAATCCATGACGCTTGGCGCGTCATAAGGCCAAGTCACTCGGCTTTTGAAAGATTATGACAAGTTTAGAAAGTGGCGTCACCTTGTGAAACTTTTAATGATTACGATTATCATCAGCGTCACTCTAGTAAACATTTTGTGTCACTTACTGTCATTCGTTTTTTTCAAAATTCAAAGTACAGGAAATATTACCACAAACAAAAGAGAATGGACAAAAATAGAATAAAACTGACAAGAATAATAATAATAATAATAATAATAATAATTTATTTATCCAGCAGACCAGTTGGTCCAGAAGAGGATAGAAATTTTACAACAATGTATAAAAGAAATGATACAAAAATTTAAATACTGAATATTAAAGAATTAAGTAAATTATTTACACTTTTAAAATTTTTCTGCTTTGAGGTTTGTGATCTAAAATTAGTTTTCTTTTTAATGAATCCGTCTTTTCTAGGCAAATGTTCGACAGAACTGGTTTTGCGATTATTGTCAAAACCATAATGCAGATCTCATTTTGGTGCTGCCTACAAACCAATAAAGAATTTTTTTGTAAAGTGGACTGTAAAATCTTGATCAGTTGACCGCATGTTTTTTCTTTTTTTAAATAAGGTAAAATGTCCTGTATTACATCGGCGATTCTTTTTACAAGCCCCACAAAAAGTTCATTCGGATACACTAATCCACCATGATCCTGAAGAGTTATTAATTTCAGGAGAGGTCCAGGCATTGTAGTTGACACTAATGGAGCAATGCAATCATCACATTGATATTTTTTTTGTAATTTCATTATTATGTATCCGGATAAAAAGGCTACTGATGCAGAATAGAGATTCATTTCAGGTATTTCATTTCTTTGTAAGGAATGGATTTTAAAGCGTAAATCCGTAGGCAAAAATAATTCTTCTACATGTTGTTCGGCAAATTCATCAACTGTTGATTTTTGATGGGAGAGTTCATTGCGGCTAATGTGACTTAAAGTTCTTACAGTGTTGGCAGATGACGAAGATTTTAGAATTCCAGTTCTTAAAATTTGACGTAAGGCATATTCAGCTGCACGAGCGTCAGTAGCATCATTTGAGCCTCCTTTTAAACGAATATGCGAAAATGTCGCTTCCACAGCATCTGAACTAAATGAGCGAGTTAACACATAATAAAATCCAGCTTGTATCAGAAGAAATTGGACACATAAAAATGTACTCTTTGCAATAAATTTTAGAGCATGTGCTGTTTCGCTGCTTAAACATTTATATCCTGTGCTGGCTGAAGTGGACTGGATATCATCTATGTAATTTTGGAAAGTAGTATTCAACCAATGGAGGCGTTGATCTGAAATGTTTACATATGGGGCAACGTTGCTATCTAGTGCATGAATGTAATGTCTTCTACTTGAGATGTTATGGACTTGAAAAAAATGGAACATATTTTCCATATACAAAATAGTTGCATCACTATCAACAAAGTCTTTATATTTCTCTTCTTTTAATAATTTTAGTGCTGAGGTAACCGTTGGGGAAAATATCTGCACAGCCCGCAAAACATTCATTTTTTCAAGATTTGAAGGATATAAATGCTTTTTTGTAAGATATCTGACGGGTTTCAAAGGCCATCCTCTTTGTAAACCGTATAAGGTATTTAAATAGGACGAGGAGATAACACCGGTTGTCGAATTCATATTATGACTTAAAAAAAGGTTCCTGGCATTTTTAATGGCATGGCAATAGTCAAACGATAAAAATATGGGCATAGGAAGATATGGGTGATTAAAATAATTTTCCAGAGTTCCTCCACACAAGTTCTTGAACAAAGCCACATTGGACGGATGGTTATCTGTTACAATGCGTAATACCATAAAACCACAATCTGTGAGAAGTTTAATAACTTGCAAAGTTAAAGAATGAAAATCAGAGGCCGGCATTGAAGAATGGAAAAAGTACCCAGCTACAATAGTAAAGGATGCTGACAGACCATTTGCTACAAAACACGCCATTTTATTTGCAACTTTGGGATGTTCTGTGATAGAATTGGAGTTAATGGTTTCAAGACCATAAATATAATCTTCTGTTCTACTGTAATACATTTTTTCTTTTATTGACATGTCGTCAATAATTAACGAACATAATCTTTGAACGGGGTGCTTCAAATTCACTACTTCTGCGCACAAACGTTCCTTGATTAAATTATTTTGTCCATTAAAATTACCAAGGTGTCTAACTATCGTCGATCTGGATGGTAATTTAACTAAATTTTTATGGCAAAATTCATAACACTTGGGTGAACAATATCTCCACACCGTACAGAGACGAACAGACAATTCGGACCATCTAGGAGATTTCTTGTTATAGTTATGAAGAAGATCTAGTAAAAATATGGCTTTTTCATCTGAATTCTCAGCATCAGTGTAAATTTTTTCGAGTGCTTCAATGCTTTGTGAATGTTTTTTCAACTTGTTTTCAAATTTTTTAAGTTTTACAGCACAGCGGGCATGCGATCTCTTTTCATTTTGCAGTTCCAAAGTTAAGGTGTTATAGTTTTCTTGTAAATCTGCAATTTCATCAGAAGATTCTGCTGCTGGTGGAAGTTCACAAACGATTTCACAATTTTCTACAGGGTAGGGGGCATTGGATTCAAGGTTGGATGTGCGGGAAGAGGATGGGGCAGGATCCATATACTTTAACAAAAATATTTATTTAACAGTTATGTCAATCAATTTAAATAAAAAATAAAGTAGGTGTGCTTACAACTATGGTAGGTACAGATCCTATTATTAAACGCTCTCCTCCAAGAACTTTTTTAAAACATTTTTCTTCGAAATGTTTTCTGCAAATTACAGTGTAGTCTGTAATTTGGAATGAATCTACAAATAAAAAAGGGGATATTTATGTCTTAAAATTAATTTTATATAGATGAAACACTCACCATAATGCTTTTCAAAAAACTCTAGCCATTGAATTCTAATTTGTGAATTTTGTGGTATTTCACACAGTGGTAATATTTTATTCTTACAAAGAGCACAGCATCTACCCATTGTTACAAATAAAAATAATATATAAGTTCAATAATAAACGGAACAATGATTAAAAAAACCCACAAGGAACCGAACAACAAAACACAACTGAATATAATAAAATTAATTAATCAAAAACGAGAAAATGGAGAATAATAATAAATAACCGAACCAAGAAACGAGAAATTATTAATAAGCGACAAATAATTAGGTTTCGAAAATTAATTGACAGTATGACTTTTATAAATCTGTTTTATTTTCACTAATAATAGGAGTAATAGACAACAATCATTAACAATAGTAAAAAAAAATCGTGGGAGTCAAAACCCTTCGCATTTGAGTTGGGAAGTTACGGTTTTATACTGGTTTTTATGACTGGGGATAGAGGACACCACTTTCTAAACTCCAAGGCTTGCTTCGTGAAAACCTCATTTTTTGGGGAGTGACTTGGCCTTATCACGCGCCAAGTGTGATGGATTCAGTTGGCCTTGATTTTAATATAGATTTTTTTATCAAAATTGGTAACGAAAATAACGAACGAAGCCTTCACATTTTGTTCATAATAAATATATTAATTCATGGTACAAGTAAACATGGTATGGACACGCGCATGTTGTCGTGACGTCAGGTGGCTGTTCGATGAGCGTGTGAAATTGAAATCTACATTTAAAAACTGCTTAACTATGTATAGCTGCTATTTTAATATATATGTATGACCTACGCATAAGAGTAAATTATTTAGAAATTTAGCAAAGGTTTTTAAACTATTGTATTATATTATTGTTAAAACATTATTTGTGACAATCTCACCCCCCTGCTTAATAGATTCCGATAGTACGGACATCTTTATTACCTTTCGCCAATGTCGTTTTTATACTTTTACGTTCAAAACGATGGATTTTAGATGATGCCAAAGCCTGCAGACTTTGTAGTAATAATACAACGTATGTATTCATAATACACTCCCCCCAAAAATTATCGCACCACCTCCAGTTCTAGCGAACCGGAACACATGGGGTTACCATATACATAGTAGTGATAAATGTATGCAAGACAAGGCCAAAAAATGACAATATTTAAAAAATATACATATTCTGGGCCTGATTTGGAGACTGTCTTACTGTAGGTACATTAGTTTATTAGCGTTAATTAAATTAATATCGTGTAGTTCCACCCCTGGCTTGAATAACGGCTTCCATCCGTCGCTGCATACCTTCGTAAAAGTGCACAATATTGTCGTGAGGAATATTTTCCCATTCTTCCATAAGAACTGCTTCTAGCTGTTGGAAAGTTCTAAAAGCAATTTTACGGCCCGAAACACGACATTGCAGATCATCTCATACATGCTCGATGGGATACATATCAGGGCTTCGAACTGGCCATTCCATAACAGGCGTATCTGTTTCTCTGAAATAAGCTTGCACAACGCGCACTATGTGCGGCCGAGCGTTATCATGCGTTTAAATAAAATTTGGACCAATAAATGGTCCGTATGGAATGACATGTGGTTCCATAATGTCTGTTATGTAACGTACAACCATCAAACGAGCTCCAGGTAATGGTACTAAGTCTGTACGACCTTGCAAAGATATGCCAGCCCAAACCATAATCGACCCTCCACCGAACTGTACATTTGGGACGAAGTTACATTGAAAATACCGCTTCCCAGGCCTTATATACACCGATATTCGTCTGTTATTTGAGCAAAGACAGAATCTAGACTCATCAGAGAACATCACATTTTCCCAATCTTCAATTTCCCAATTCACGTGCTTCCTTGCGAATTCTAGCTGGGCTACTCGATGAGCTCTGGTGAGTAATGGTCCTTTTGCAGGAACACGAGCTCGAAGATTATCTTCGCGAAGACGATTTGTTACTGTCTGTACAGAAATATCCACATCTCGAGCACCAAACAACTCCATTTGAAGTAATCGAGCAGTGCAATGCCTCGTACGGAGCGCTGTTAAGCGCAAAAAGCGATCATCCCATTACGAAGTCACCCTTCGACGACCTTGTCCTGGTCTTCTGGCAACACTCCCTGTTTCATGGAACCGTTGTGGAAGTCTAACTATTGTGAAATGATTAACTCCTAAAACTCTTGCTACGTATCGCTGACTATGACCATCTTCCAACAGAGTCAATGCTCGTACAACTTCGTCGTGGCTCAAATGCAAGATTAAGCGTTGAGGGACATCCATAATGTCGAATATGTATGACAGTGGCGATAGAAGTCTCGATAAATCCTTTGTAAATGAAAAGCACGAAATTCGTATATGTGCAAATTTATCCGAAGAACTAGAAACCATCGTTTTAATCCCCATATTGGTTCTTGTTCTGGCAAATAAATAAATAAAAATATGTCTGGATATGATTTGGGCCCATATGTGTCTTCTACAAATTTTCAAATTGGAAATATACAAAATTTTGAGGGTGGTGCGATAATTTTTGGGGGGAGTGTATTACTAACAAATTAATATTTGACAACTGTCAAATTGTGGCGAGAGACATCTCGAAGGCCTTTCATTCCACGTGACGTCACGCAGTTGGTGCGCAGAAAAAGCTCGATTTAGTTCGCGGGATGTCCATACCATGTTTACTTGTACCATGTATTAATTTTCCTATTTAACTTTAAAACTCACTACAAAGAAAAAAAATAATTTTAGCTAAATAATTCCAGTCAATATTCTGATGAGCAGTATGAACCATTTTATTCATAAATTTTAATGTAAATCTGTATTAATAAACTTTTAATAAATAGTAAAATGATCATAATTTTCGTTTTTATTTAAACGAAAAATTAAAACAATTCTCATACAAAACATTAAAGTATCATTGTAAAAATACATTTTCTGCTTAAAAATACATGGCAATTTTAGTCTATTACGATTTTTTTATTAGAATTTTTATTTGGTTGTAGACACAAAACTTCATGTCGCTCCATTTTCTAGATACTAACAAACGGTACTTCCGTTGCAGTTCTTCACATTCTGATTTTTTCGGAACTATTCCACGTTTTAAATTCAATTTGAAGTTCCAGCACCAAACTCATCTCTTCGGCAGACCATGGCTTTCTATTAGCAGGAGCTTGCTTGATTATATTGAATATACTGTAGACTTTAACCATCCTGTATTAATATTGGGAGATTTTAACATTCCAGAACTGAATGAGTGTACGCTTGGAAATAGAACAACTGGTTTTTACAATACTTATAATAATTTCATAACATTAAATGACTTAAAACAGAGTAATGCAATTGTGAATGTAAACAATAGGTTACTGGATCTGGTCTTATCAAATAATCAATTGAATACTGAAGTAATTAGGGAACCATTACCACTTCTACAAGAAGATGTGCATCATCCATGTCTGAGAATTTTTATAGAGAGTGTTAAGCCAAACAACACGTTCTTTGAAGGTAACGGGCACAACATTAGGTTTAATTTTAAAAAAGCCAATTTTCCTCAATTGTATGCTGAAATCGCAGCTATTGACTGGGCCGTAATAAATAACATTGACAATGTGAACTTAGCATGCGATTATCTATACGATACTTTATACAAAATCTTCTCGAAGCATGTTCCGACTTGTAAGTTCTCAAACTTGACCAATACATATCCTGTTTGGTTTACTAAAACGATAATTAACAATATAAAATTGAAAGAGCATTATTGGAATAAATATCGGAAAACTAAATCTCCCCACATCTTGGAAAATCTTAGATGCTTAAGACAACAAATTAAGCGTGACATTCGTAATAATTATGACATCTTCCTGCGTAATACACAAAATTCTATATTAAATGATCCCAAAACGTTTTGGTCTTTTGTAAACTCCAAGAAAAGAACAACCAACATACCAGGAGTTGTAGTACATGAAGATCAAGAATTTTCATCTTCTCAAGCAATTGTCAATGTTTTTGCTCAGTTTTTTGCGGGTGTTTATGTAAAACATGTATGTGAAGATGTCTGTGTAAGCAAGGACGTAAGTAATCAGTGTGAATTTTGTAAGTTGTCTTGTTGTCCTTCGCTTGAGTACGATTTAAAGGACTGTGGTGGTGTTAACATGATGCACAACTTTAAGATTGATGAAGATATGATAGTTAGAGCGGGTAAAAAACTAAAGAGTAACAGTGTTAGTGGTCCTGACAATATTCCGGCCTTCATTGTTGTCGATTGTATAAGAAGTTTTGCGGCTCCGTTAGCGCGAATATTCAACCTAATTGCACTGAAGTCAGAATATCCTGTAGTGTGGAAGCAATCGAGAGTGTGTCCTATTTTTAAATCTGGGGACAAAGGGTGCGTAAAAAATTATAGGCCGATAGCAATTTTATCAAATTTCGCTAAGTTATATGAATCCATGTTGAGCAATATCATATACTCTCATGTCAATAATATGATTATGCCTGAGCAACATGGATTTGTTAAGGGAAAATCGACAGCAACAAATTTGTGTGAATTTACTAATTTTATTTCACAAGAATTAGATAAAGGTAATGAAGTTGACGTTATATATACAGATCTGTCGAAGGCATTTGATAAGGTTCACCACTGCATTCTATTAAAAAAACTTAGAAATTTTGGCTTATGTGACGGATTAGTTTCTTTGATGCAATCTGTTATAACAAAAAGAGTGCAATATGTAGAATATAAGGGTTTTGTCTCAGGGAGTTTTTGTGCTCATTCAGGTGTTGCCCAGGGTTCGAATTTAGGACCGCTATTGTTCATTTTGTTCTTTAATGATGTGTTAGATAACATTAGTTCTCATGCATATCTGTATGCTGATGATAAAAAAATTGCCAAAGTCATTAATTCATATGATGATTGTCTTGAACTGCAACAGGACTTAGATAATTTCCTTTATTGGTGTAAAAGAAACTGTTTGGAGGTTAACAAAGATAAGTGTAGGGTTCTAAAATTTTCTAGGAAGAAAAATCATATTTATTTTTATTATAATATAAATGGTAGGGTACTAATCCAGGTTGATCAATTGTCAGACTTAGGTATTATCATCGACAATGAATTAACTTTTGTGCCTCAAATATTGCAATTGATAAATACCACGTTGAAAACTTTAGGTTTTATTTTTAGAATTGCCAGAGAATTTGATAATTTATCATGCATTAGAATTCTTTTCTATGCACTTGTGCGTTCAAAGTTGGAGTATTGTTGTATTATCTGGACACCTCATCATCAAATCTATATAGATGCTCTTGAATTGGTTAATAGGAAATTTTGTAAATTTATGTACTTCAAGACTTTTGGTTACTATCCTATAAGGCATCATGATCATACTGATTTACTTCGCATTGTTAATGAGGACAGTCTGTTATCTAGACGGAATATGTTTCTTTTATCGTTCCTTCAAAAGCTTGTATGTGGTGGAATATGTAGTTATAATTTGCTGAGTGAAATAAAAATTGTTGTTCCTAATTTTACGCGCAGAAATGTTAACATTTTTTATTTTGCAATTCCTCGAACGTATCACCATTTTAACTCTACTCTAATTAAGTGCTTTAGATTGTACAATAGTGTTTGCAATCAGGACATTGATATTTTTCATGATAAGTTTCAAACAAAGGCCATGCGTAAAAAATTAATGTCAATTAAGGATTAAAAGCAGGAATTTCTAAATTTTTATTTTGGTGCTTATGAACTATTAAGTTTTTTATTGTTGTTTCTTATTACTTATTCTTATTACTTATTTTTTATTCTGATTGGTTTATAGTTTTTAGTGTTTAGTAAATTTATTATTAAGTTAAAGTAATATATTAGTGTATCTATGTCCACTATGGACAGAATTGTCCGATGGAAATAAAGTTTATTATTATTATTATTCCTAAAATATAAATAGTGTTTTTCCCCTCCTGGGGGTCAATTCTTGACTGTTCGCTATCGTTACAATCATTCGAATTTTAACGATTTGTAGAAAATCTCATTCTTGACAATTCGTTATTATGCGTGCACGCTAAAACCCGATAGCTATTTAGCGAGCGAATTTTTGCTGCACTTAAAAATTTATATCTGTCATATAAAAACTTGTCAGTGTGTGGGGCTACAGTACTTGTCGTTGATGTGTCCCAATACATGGTAAATATTAAGTTATAGGACATTTTGAAATAAAAGAAAACTATGGATGAACTAATGCACATTGAATTAATTGAAGAATTAGAAAGAGCCGAAATAGAATACCAAAATTTTCCTACACCACGCAGTCCTAAAAATGCATTTTTTGAGATGTCAGAAAAAGAATTCGTAAACAAGTTTCGGTTTTCCAAAGAACTCTGTTCCGTTTTAATACAAATTTTAGAACCATTTATTCGGCCTAAGATACGAACTACAGATCTTGATGTTGCTACAAAGGTACTAGCCGCATTAAATTTTTTTGCTAGTGGAAGTTATCAACCAATTATAGGTTGTAATAAATATATTGATATTTCGCAGCCATCAGTTCTGTAACAGAAGTTACTAATGCTCTAAAGAGGCCTGAAATATTTAATCACTGGGTTCACTTTCCTGAAAACTGTGAAGAATCAAGTTAGGCTAAATTTTTCTCAACAACATGGATTTCCTGGGGTTATTGGTTGCATAGACTGCACACATGTTGCTATAATACCACCACCACAAAATGATGCTGAACATCCCGAACATTTATATGTAAATAGGAAAAATTACCATTCAATTAACGTGCAGTTAATTTGTGACGCAAATTTAAAAATACTAAACGTAAATGCTAAGTTCCCCGGTAGTACAAACGATGCCTATATTTGGAGTAGGAGCAACGTTCAAAATCTACTACATAATGTACATAATGCTGGTCATAAAGATTATTTCTTGTTAGGAGATTCTGGATATCCGTTGAGAACTTGGCTGTTAACACCATTAGAAGGAGATTATGTTCCAGGTACTCCAGATTATAATTATAATGTTGCCCATAAAAATACTCGATGTAAAATCGAATGTTGTAATGGTGTTTTAAAAAACAGATTTAGGTGCTTATTGAAACATAGGGTTCTGCACGTGACTCCATATAAAGCATGTAAAATAATCAATGCTTGTATTGTTCTTCACAATACAGGGTTATCATAAATGATTGTAGTCGAAGTAGGCGCTGACGCAATTGTTTTGATATGCCGCTTCTTACTTTCAAAAAATTATTAATTATAGTCCACTAAAGTTATGGGGAATTTTTGTTTTGCTTTGCTGTCAGAAGAATGTCATATTGGTCATATGTCATAATACTTTCCCGCGCACGTCTTGTTTACTTGTGTTGTAGTTCCAGTCTTCTTTGTTATAAATTAAATTGAATTAAACCAGTTTTTCTCAAAACTACAACGATTGAAAACAGCGATTAAGGTAACTAGAAATGAATTAATGTGTATTCATATTTCAAATAAATCTGTTTTAGGTTAAGATGGGGTACACTCTTGAACAAAATACGTTTATTGTTGTCTTACTATCGAAATGGGACGTTAAATGCGGACGGGGAATGGGTGTATTCTGTTCAAGCTTGCAAGGATGAGTATTTGGCAAAATTTCCAGAATTAAACATTGAAGAACAGTCTTTAATGACACAAATAAAAAGAATCGTTGACCGATTCAACAGCACTGGAAATATTTCTAAAGGCAAGTCACCAGGAAGGCCTCCAGTTAGTGAAGAGGTCGTCGAAGATTTGAGGGAACGAGTGGAGCAAAGCTCAAAAAATCTTTAAGTAAAGTGTCTTTGCAATCTGGTGTCCCATACACCACTTGTCAGAAAGTTTTAAAAAGAACATTACATATGCATCCCTATAAAGTATCGTCAGTCCATGAACTTAAACCAGCTGATTATCCTCGTCATGTTGCATATTGTGAATGGTTTCAAAACAACATGAACAACAACAGAATTTTGGGTTTGTCATTTTTTTCCGATGAAGCATGGTTTCATCTAAATGGCTACGTTAATTCGCAAAATTATAGAGTTTGGAGTGCTGAAAATCCTTTTGTTTTTGAAAAGAAGAATTCCTTGAGTACCCAGAGCAGTGATTATACTGTACCAAAAAAATTTTGTGATGCCTAAAATTGTAGACGAGCAAGCAAATGTGAAAGATTGTTGTTCATCTAGCTCGTTTTCCAGACTTCATTGGCGCCTTGGACTGCATATGCACATATAAAAATTAAATTACCAGGTATATGAATTTTTGTTAACATAGAACACAAAAAATGAAATAGTAAAAGTTATAGGTGGAGAAGATCCAGAAATTTTTAGAAATCAGGAAGATTGTCTCTTGGTTAATGTACAAGCCATATGTGATGAAATGATTAAATTTCAAATATTGTGGCACAATTATCAGTAGCTACAAATGATAGTACTATTTTTAATCATTGTTCAGTTTAAGATCTGTTTGAAAATACACAACTGCAAAGTTGTGTGCTCTTGGATAGAATATTTTAAGAGAATTTTATTATATTATTATATTTCTAAGTAACAAGTTATCCCTTAAAAAATACTTGTTGACACTGCTGATATATCCCGTTACTCCAGCACAACAGCTCTATTATCAGTGACACATTGGAAGCCGCAATAGAATTGGGTGCACATTTGGGATTCTGAAACGACAGTTTCCTGTGTTAACAGTTGTGATTGTCGCTGTTGTTTTACACAACATTTTAAAACAGATTGTAATATTTGACAGTAAAAATTTATTGGTAATAATTTTTTTTTTTGTTGATTTCATTTATAGTGAAAAACATATTAAAATTTATTTATAAACTAACAATATCTCATGTTATTGTTAACATTACATTAAACATGAGCATCATTTAATTGAAAATGGACTCTTTAATGTTTTAATTTGAAGTAAGTACATTTAATTCAATGTCTGGTTTTAAAACCCTTTCCCTAAAATTAAATTCTTCAATTTCTCGTTCCTTCTTTTGTAGTTAACTCCTGCCCGAAATATTGGTTTTTTAATTTTGCCACTTCATAACCCTGCCACTGCTGTGAATTATGTTCCCATGAACAGTCTCCATAACCTTTGCTCTTCTTCCACTAAACCAATTTTTAGTGTGAAGTGTGAAGTTACTGATCCATCAGCTTTTTAAAATTATTTGGAATGTAACACGCCAGTGGTCCTTAAAATAAACAGTAAATTTTCTATAGATAACAATGAAATGTATACTTACTTCTTTTGAGGTTGTTGGTAAATCATGACCACAGAACACTGACTACCACCCTGTTCAACTATGCTTTTCTGTTGAACATTGGAACCAAGACTGTGATGTCATCTTGTACCTAAACACACAGGATTTCCTCTGCACCATCTTGGCTATTTGTTGGTTTAATGCTTTCATTTTCGTCCCCACTATGTGAAATGTACGTCTCCAGTCTCCACAAGTGTTTTGATTTGTGATGTCCGTAACTTAAACAAAACAAGGATCCATTGTTTCAAATACTGGACGTGGTCCTTTGCCAATCTTTCTTCTTTCGGCCTCCTCGTCTGCGGCTGTTTTCCGGTCTTCATTTTTCTTGTTCTCGTACCACTTTTTTTTAGAATCTTTGTCGCACCAGTAAATGACATCGTCCTTTTTATTTTCTATGGTAGCTTTGGATTCATATTCATAAACTTAATCCATAATTAAAACCTCCTCCGGTGTACAACTGGTTATTCGGCATTTTGTTGTTCCATATTTTTTTTATAAACTGCACGAACACACGAGGCACGGGGGCACGGACACAAATGAATTTAGGTAACACTTCTAAGTGTTAAATGAAAGCGGTGCAGTTAGGCCTAAACACTTAAAGAATGTTTTATTTATTTTTGAAAATAACCTCAAACAGAGCATGACATTTAACTAATAGTTCGAATTATTTCGAACCGTATTATGAAGCGGCAACAGCAAAAAATTCATTTGTTTTCAAAGCCAAGTTGACTACAATCATTTATGATGACCCATGTGCATTTCAAACAATATACCGGAACCAAATAATGACGATTTGAGAGATGTGGATTTTGGTATGTTTGGAGGCTATGAAGATGAACAGCAGGAAGCAAATAATATAGTCCGAAGAATTAATCCAGAACTTGCAGAAGGACAAAGATCGAGAAGAAATTTAATAAACCGTAATTTTGTAAATTGAATTTTGTTGACATTAAAAGAAACACTTTTTATTTTTTACTTAAAAAAAAAGAAAAATTAACAAAATTACTTAAAAAAAACGACACTACTTTTTATAAAACAAGACGCTGATCAACTAAATTTTCTAGGGACCGTCCAATACCAGTCAAAGCATCAGCCATGCGGTTTAGGACTTCTATTTTTTTTTGAATAATAAGTTTCTTTTATTTTAATTTTTTTCTCTAAATAAACTTTATGGTCATTTGCTGCTTTGGCCGTATTAGTTAAGTAATTAAATTTTCGAGAACATTTTAGGCTTTTTTTACTTTTAAACTGGTGTTGCGAAATATTTTGATTGCTAATGTTTTCATCATTTTTGTCTTCTTCAACTTCACTTTGTTCTACAACAGGTGTCAGCTGTATTGAAGAAGGTGAAAAAGACGTATTAGCGATGTTCTCTTCGAAAGAAAAAGTTGATGGAGATTCTTGGATAACGTGACCTTCTACCGAAACTTTTTTAATAATTTCCAGTACTTCACTTTCTAATTTTGTGATTGGAATTTCTTCCAAACTGCCACCCCCTGTTTTTCTGAAATTTTCTTTATTCTTTCCGGCTTTTGCTTTGGAGCGAGAGCGTAAATCTTGCCAAGTCTATCAAACAGATGTAAACCTGAGTTTTCTATGGCTATAGGAATGTTTTTCTTACCTTTTTCCACCCTTTCCAGTCTTTAGTGGATCTTGGTACGCTATTTAAAATCTCAGCAAGTTTTTGCCATTCCCCAACCGCATCTTTATGTGTGAAGTTATTTGAAAATTTGCCACTTAAAAGCAGCGGCCTATTTTTTAAATACTCAACCATCAATTCTTTTTGCTTTTCGCTAACTTTACTACCTCTAGGTTTATTCATAATTAACATAAACGAATTTTGCATAAACAATATTCTGCAATTTTTTAGATGTATTGAATGAAAGGAGCACCATGAGCACTAAATATTGTCAACTGTGACATATGTTGCTATGGATCGAAAAAAAAATACGTGTGTTGCCAAATTTATCGCTCGATAATAAACGAGTGATGCTATGAGTTTACGAACGTAGGTCAAGAATTGCAAATTGTAAATCTTTCGTTACGATGCACTAGTTATTTAACGTGTACGTGTTTTAACGAATGATGTCAAGAATTGGCCCCCTAACATGTAAACAAAACATTCACACACGTTTGACGTGCCGCGTAACAGTACTTTACGCACCAAATATCAATTTACCGTCGCTTTACCGCCTTTGGGTGCCAAAGTAACTCAATATGCATTAGCCTGTAGAAGCTCTAATAAAAAAAGTTCTGTATAAATAATAAAAGAAAACGTACTAGAACACTACTTTACATCATGTTTTGTTCAATCAAAACTTTTGAATTAGAAAAAATGAATTATTAAAAAAAAACACATGGCGCTACCTCGTGACTGTCGGTATTATAGATTCCTTCAGTAAACGTCAAGTCCCGAAACTGTCACTTCATTTCTTGCCATTTCGGAAAATATTTTTAAAATGAAATATTTTTTAAAATAAACTCAATGTCGGGGAAAAAATTGAGTACAATTTTCGTGCGTTAGGCATTTTGCAGGTTTCGGTCCCATGCCAAAATTAGGACCTCAACCTGCAAAATGTTACCTACCGCACTCATAATGTAAATAACTATTATAGTGCTGTGATCTTTAAATGTAAAAACTACTTAATTCTACAAAGCAAAATTTTATACTACTACTATATACATAATTATCACTACTACAACAACAACTACTACTACTACTACCTGCTATTACTACACTAAATTTATTTTGTTCATTAATTCTTTCACCCTTTTCGCACTACTTTCACAGTGGATAAGTTTTTTGTTCACTTCCGCGAGTTGCGTTTTTCGTTCTGCTAATAGTCTCTGAAATTCGCAAACTTTGTAGAAGTATCTTTTCACGTCTTTTTCATACTTGGCTTTTTTTCGTAACAGGTTACTTCGGCGCACCTTTTGAATTTGTTCCGCCGCCCGACGCCACAGACGTGACGAAGTAAACCCATGTTTTTGCCATGCGTTTCCAAACCCTCAAATAATGAGGGCGTTAAAGAAACGCATGGCTCGTCTAGTGCAATGGACAACTGGGAGGGCGTCTCTGAAGGCTCTTCCCTTACTTCTATGGCCTTAGAAGTGGACGCTTCTTCAGTTTCCTCATTTTCGGCATGGCGGGCTGTCAAACAAAATAAAGACTTATAAACATTTCAACATTTATGAATATACGAAAATAAAAAAAAATGTATATGATAAAATATTAAAAAAAAAAACATTTAGCAAAAAAACAAAAGACCTGTCTGAATTGTGTTGTCTTCTAATATTGTAAAAAATATTAAACGAATAAATAATAAAAAAAAAACGTACCCGAATTACATCTTGAATGATATTGATTTTTTTCGGCTTTAGTTAATGCTTCATCTTCTTCACTTTCACGATCACTTCTCCACATACACTGAAGAACTAATAATGACAATTATGTGTCTCCATACAAAATATATAGGAAAAATAATGCAGACTAATGAAAAAATAATTTTAGAAAGAGGGGTGAAATGCCCAATCAGCAATTTATTATGTCCATATATGGACATCTAAAAGACTGCTAGACTTCAAGGTCATGAAAAGAAGCATTTGTACCTTTCTTTGAGCTGATTGCAGATAGTAATTAAACCACTTCCAATTACCATCCCGTCATCGTCATAATCTTGGAAAGATTTAGGATATTTTGCCACTAGTTTATGAGCGATGATTTGAAAGGTCTTTGTTGGTATTTCGTTACTTCTAACATATTATCAACAATAACGTTAACAACTTTTGTTCTGGTTTGTTTATCGCACTGACTTTTTTCAAGGGAATCGATAGTAGATCGTGTTAATTTTTCCCAAGGAATCTTAAAATGAATCCAAGTATTTTCAGAAACGTTTAGCCCTTCACTGCTAGTAGACGGTATAGTAAGAGTTGAGTCGCTGCTTAATTTTTTCTGTTCTTCAGAATCTAATGTTGTAGTACATGTAGGTGAGGAAATTTTAGCAGTGTCATTACATGGTTGCCACACTTCATTTTTCTTTAATAACAACAACACTTGATTTTGAATGGTTTCCAAATGTATGGAATCATCAACTTCAGTTCCGTCTGACTCTAAATACAGCTTAAGCTCATCTGATTCGTGTATATTTAATTTTCGACTGGCTGCAGTATTTTATTCAAACAATTAAATACATAAATCAATTATATTGGTTACCTTTGGAAATAAGTTCCTGAAGAAGACTGTCGCATTCGTGCACTGCAACAAATTTATTAATTGTTCGTGCTGCATTCCAAATCTTGAAAACTTTCATTTTTGTACATCAAGTGCTAAAAAAAAAAAGATGCAAACAAAAATTGAAAAAATTTCATCAGTACAAGTTATTAGATTTGGGTACCTTGATAACATCTGTATTATACAAAAACTACTTCCAGTATATTACAGATTTCTTAACCATCCCAAAGAATAAGCGACACGTGGACTCTTCATTGTTGACTTGATGTTATCAAGGTGAATATGTGTTCAAAAATATTTTTCAAAAATATTATTTATCTTTACTTTTTTTACTAGATGACATCCAATATAATATTTAATAATGTGGTTTAGGGGCGTATAATTATATAAAAGCGTATTGTACTACATTTAGTAATAGACGGAATATTTACGAACAATGATTATATTTTCCGATATTAGTGTTAAAAAAAGTAATGTTTCAATATATCACTCTTCTTCAAATGGGGCGGATTTGAAAGAAAAAAGCATTTTTTTCTGCAGATACGAATGTTAATCATCTATGTGTTTTCCGATAATTTTTTTCACATCAGTACAATCATGTTGATGTTTCCAATAAACCTGTGACAGAATTGTAAGAAACTTCCATTGTCGAGCCAACAAAAAATACGTCTTTATACGTCTCATTAATAATAATGAAAACAATACAGAAAATAGAGTAGACATTATCGTCAATTTTAGAACTGCACAAATGCATTCCCTCACTGTATTGAGTTCGCTTAAACGAAATTTTTTTAGAAACAAATAATTTACCACGGAAATTACACAAACGTGAAATGCATGAACGAATATTTTGTTCATAATTTTCAGATGTATATTCATTTGCATCATTAGCATTGACCAAATCAGAGAAAAGCGTACCATTGGATGTATGCACAGCCTGCAGTAATTGATGTTTTTCTGATAAATGGCGAATAATGTTTTTAAAACTACTCGAATGTTTTAATATACTTTTAAAGTAACGGTGTTTGCTCTCAAAGCGCAAAGTCCAAAGATGTCGAAGGGGACCAAATTTTTTTTATCAAATGCGCATAATGCAACAAATAGTGATGCTTTGCTCTCAGATTTACGTCGGGAAATAATTTAACTCTCATTTCCACATATTCGTATATTAAATCTTCTCAAATTAGCCAACTGAGCAACAGAAATTTTAAAAGCAGTCAAAATGAAATTAATTTCACGTAATTTTAGAAGCATTGTCCAATAAGGATGTTCAATACGAAGATCATGCGTAGCAAACGGAAATATTATTAACAATCTCAAATTTTCAGAAGCACTACCCGTAAGTTTCTTTTTGTCTCCTTTTTTAATGGTCGGGATAGATTCGTAGCGACTTTCATTTAAGAAACGAAGTTTTTTTAATCGATTGTTAAATGTTTCGTAAGTAAAACAATTTTGTGTAATAAGCTTTTCTAAGCAAAGTATAAAATCGTACTGAAGAACTCCTTCATAAATATCATGGGCTATGCATGGAGGTAACCCAGGATTGCAAACATGAAAATAAGTACATTCATTTAAAATGGAATCAGACTTAACTCCCTTACTTGGTGCTCCTGTTGCCGATGCTAGAACAACGTCTAATTCGTGGGTAATTTTGTTTCTAAAACAGAACTGAGTTGAATCATTAATTTTTTTCACGATATCCTCTTTTGAAATGTAACAGTAAGGGCATGGATAATGTGTGCTGCTAAAGTTTTCAACAAACCCGCCGATTTGATGGCTCCCTAAATTATCTGCTGGTGAAACAACAAGGGTACCTTTAATAACCTCTCCCGTTCCAATTTTTATGCCTTCAGTTTCTAAAATTTTGATGTCGCTAATAATTGGTTTGCAAATATTTTTAAAACCATATTGCTTTACTACCGACTCTAAACAAAGTGCAACCAATTGTATTTGATCAACTTGACTTCGATAGTGTGGTGGGACATTGGCAAAACACATACAGGGTGCCGCATCCAAGTCTGGATATAGGGAATTAACATGGGAATTGGTTTTTATTTTATGATATCTCCCCAGATCACTTTAAAGCTATTAATGAGTGATGTCTTTGTGGAGGTCGAAGAGGGCTATCGGCCAGTATTTTTTTCAAATCGTTGCATCGCGCTCAATCACTGTAAAAAGGTTTTAAAAATCGTATTTTGAAATTCGCGCTCGATCCGATTTGTCCCGAAATGTTCCGTCGCACTGTCGAAGTTCGGCGATCGCGTCTTTGGAATAGGGAATAACCATGCAAAATCCAAATGTCAAAGTGAAGTTAGAAATTATTCTCAGAAATCAACGAACAACTCAGACTGGATTATTTTATACAGTGTGATGATTATTGTAGGACAAATTAAACGGAATAAATGCACAAATTGATCCATTCATTCGTAATAGTGCGCGACCCCGTTAAACGAGCCATCTCGGAACTACACGCAGACCGTATCCAAAAATCCCGAGATGAAGACTTCGAGCAGCTGGTCTTCCTCAAAACCCCATCGGCAGCATTTTGACATGTACTGGGAGCCCTCAAGCTAGGAATGTACTCGCGCTGCCTCACTCAGTTAATCACCGAACGACTCAAATTGAATTATTTTATTCAATATGACGATTATTGTAAGTCAATTTAAACCGAATAAATTCACAAACTGCACAAAATATTTTATTAGGTTATGTTGCTGGTGCTGGTCGAGTCTTTATTACTTAAATCTCATTAAAATGCCATGTTCTACTGCGATTAGATGAAAATGCGAGGGCCCGCTTTTCTTATTGTGTGATGATAAGATTTACCATCAAAACAGCTGGCGCTTTTGAAGAGAACCTTTTAATGAACCATTTAGATAACTACAAATAACAAAACTTAACAATTGTTGATGAATGAAGTAATGAAATATTGTACGAATCTGGAGAAGTATTGCACTATTTTCAAGAATTGCTCAAAAAGACTGCTCTCAGCAGCTCTACAGTAAGTAAGTCGATCATCAAAACTCCTAAGTGTGTCGATCAGCATTTGAGTTGCAATCTAAGACAATATTGCTGGACTGCTTGTTTCAGCACTTCTCTGTTTGTATAGCTGGTATTGTTTGAATACAGATGGTCGTGAAGAAATTTCCAAAGAAAAAATTTAGATCTGGCGAATGCACAGGCCAATGGGGCAGTGCAAATTTTTCATTCCAACATTGCGGGAAAATACTGGTTCAAATAGACAACATTTATGAGAGCTCTATGGCTGGAGATTTGGTCCTGGATGTAAAAGACCTGCTGCAGATGCCGCACCCTTGGAGTCCCAGGAAGTATTTGCTGAGCTAGCATATTGTCCTACTTCTGAGCATTCATTCCGGATTCGATGAAAAAAGGTGCAATGCCATGACGTCCTAGAGGCCCCAGTCATACACTGACAGTTGTACGCCATTGATAACGATAGTCATGGACCACGTGAGGGTTGTGTAATGCTTAAATTTGATCGTTCTAACGATTATAACTTCCCTTAAGACCAAATGAACATTCGTCAGTAAAACAAATGTGCCTCAAAAACTCTCCATCAGCCTAGATTCTCTCAAGCGTTTCTTCGTAAAACTCCATACGTGAGAAGTAGTCCTCAGGCTTCAATTTTTCATCATGATGCTTTTTGAAACTCTTCTATCCCATCTCTTTAAGATCCCTAGAAAACGTTGTGCCCACCTGATTTTATTTACTTTTTATCACCTTTGAAAATAAATGTAACTTTGTTTTGTGAAATATTATTTTTATTTTTGTTGTTGTTAACAAAATAAAGAAATAAAACAGTAATACAAAAGTTTCTGAATCCCAAAACACATTCGTAATAGAGAAAAATACTTTAAAATGTTGATGCATCAATGTTCTACATTTCTCTCTCAAAAATTTCTTGTAACGAACATGCTTCCAGGTGGCAAAATTCCATCCCTGCTTAACGAATGTAAAATCAATTGACTTCCAATCTTTAGTGATTCGAAAAAAAAGTGTGAAATTTACCCAAATTACCTACTAAATAAATTAACCGTTGAAGAACATAGCATAACCTAATAAAATATTTTGTGCTGGTTGTGCATTTATTCCGTTTAAATTGACTTACAATAATCATCACACTGGATAAAATAATTCAGCCTGAGCTGTTCGTTGATTTCTGAGAATAATTTCTAACTTCACTTTGACATTTGGATTTTGCATGGTTATTCCCTATTCCAAAGACGCGATCGCCGAACTTCGACAGTGCGACGGAACATTTCGGGACAAATCGGATCGAGCGCGAATTTCAAAATACGATTTTTAAAACCTTTTTACAGTGAATGAGCGCGATGCAACGATTTGAAAAAAATACTGGTCGATAGCCCTCTTCGACCTCCACAAAGGCATCACTCAATAATAGCTTTAAAGTGATCTGGGGAAACATTATAAAATAAAAACCAATTCCCATGTTAATTCCCTATATCCAGACTTGAAATAAGGCAAAAAGAATAAATTTATATAAAGTACGCTATTGTTCCATTTTTATCATTACTCTTACTATAATTTCTGAATATTGAAAAATAACGCCCTAGGACCTATTAATTTCAAAAATAACGCCCTAGACCGTTATTTACATTGTAACGCGTATTAAATAAAGGTTATTGAAAAATAATAATAAAGGATGACATAAATTTATTTTTTTTTATTTCTAACTTCACTTTGACATTTGGATTTTGCATGGTTATTCCCTATTCCAAAGACGCGATCGCCGAACTTCGACAGTGCGACGGAACATTTCGCGACAAATCGGATCGAGCGCGAATTTCAAAATACGATTTTTAAAACCTTTTTACAGTGAATGAGCGCGATGCAACGATTTGAAAAAAATACTGGTCGATAGCCCTCTTCGACCTCCACAAAGGCATCACTCAATAATAGCTTTAAAGTGATCTGGGGAAACATTATAAAATAAAAACCAATTCCCATGTTAATTCCCTATATCCAGACTTGGATGCGGCACCCTGTATATATACCTACAATTTTGTGCACTAATCTAGACGAACCTAAAGGGTTGCAGACTTCAAATGCATCT